AATATCTTGTATTTTTAATTTGTCAACCTCCTCATATTTTGAATATGAAAAAAAAAATTATTTTCTTAGGGATTTTTACTGTACTTCTAATGTAAATTTTAGTAAAAATTACTTTGAACGTAATTGCAAATTTTACTTCTGAATTATTTTTATTTATTTAAATTATTTAATCTACATCTTGTGCAAATAATTAAAAATAAAAATAATAATAAAAATAATAATAATAATAAAATTAATTAATTAATTAATAATTAAAATTACCTTCATTTATAATTTTTAATTATTTATTTAATATTATTGTGAAAGTTTGATTCATTTCCTCATGCAATTATTGTTATTAATTATTATTATTATTAACTATAATAATCGTGGTATATTCTGTCCATAGTCTATCCACACTTGAAGTTAGACTTTTGTGCATGCTTTTGTTTTCTTGATAAATAATATTTATCAAATATTAAAATAAAAATAAATTTCAGTTAAAATGTTAGATTACAATTGAATTTTAAAAGCATTAGAACGTAAATTTTCAGAAATAATTGAATTTTGAAAAGATTTCAGATTAAAATCTTTGAAAATTTGAATTTTTCAAATTTTTAACTAATAATTCTGTGGAATTGATTCTTTTGGAGAAACTTTAATTGTGTATTTTTTTGAAATTATTTAAAGTATTTATTTTCTAATATATATTTAATTAAAGAATTTACGAATAATTGATATTTTATAAAATTGAATTGTAAACGAATGAATATGAAAATTTTTAAAGAACTTTTTCAAAAATGATTAAAAATATTGGATTTATTGAAGATGTTTATAGTTGAAAGTACGAAAAAAAAATTCAATTTTGGAAAAGTTACAAATTATTGCAAAAATTAAATTAAATATTAAATATTGTTCAAAAGTAATAAAATTCTTCTTAGGGATTCAATTATTTTCACAAATAATAAAATTCATTGCAGAATTTCAATTATTTTTAATACAATTTTAATCGAATTTCTCGAAAAATGTTATTATTCTTAAAAATTTTATTAAAATTCGTTGATGGAATTTAATTATTTTCATAAATAATAATATTCTTTGCAGGATTTTAATTATTTAAAAAAAATGTAATAAAAATTCACTGTAAGAATTTAATAATTTTCATAAATTCATGTTTTATTAAATTTTTAATAATATTCAATTATTATCTAAAATTTTAACTTAAATTCATTTTTTAATCAATTTTTATTACACAATTCTACAAGAATTCAATGATTTGAATATAAACATAGATAATTTTTTGAATAATTGAATGTTTCTTAAAATTGAATTCTTATACTTTATTTTATCAACAAATTTTTAAATTATTGAATTTTATCGACAAATTTTAAAGAATATATAATTACTTTTTTCGAGGAATTCGTTTAAAATATTGTATATTAAAGATAATTGAAATTCTATAATGAGTTTTATTATTTATGAAAATAATTTAATCCTTATAAAATTTTCTATTATATTTGTAAAGAATTTTGGAGAAGAATTTTTTGGAGAAGAATTTTATTATTTTTAAAGATATAATTGAAATTTTTACGAAACATTTTAAGAAACTTTTAATTATTCAATAAAATTATTTTTGTATTTAAATTTTAAATAATTGAATTCTAGTAGAATTATCTAATAAAAATTGATTTTCATTTTATAAAAATGAATTTCAGTTAAAATTTTAGATAATAATTGAATATTAAAAGCAATATAGCGTGAATTTTTAAAAATAATTGAATTTTGAAATTTATTTTTTGTGAAAAAGTTTATTTGAATTTTTTTAATATTATTTTAAGTTTTTATTTTCCAATATTTCTTTAATTGAAGAATTTATGAATAATTGAAATTTTTAAAAATTGAATATTGTAAAGAAATGTATTTGAAAATTGTCAAAGAACTTTTTAGAAAATTATAAAAAAAATAATCGATTTAAAGAAGAATTTTAGTTAAAAATTCTTGTAAATAATAATTGAATTGTAAATGATTTTGTCACACGGTCATCTTTAATTATTATAAAACATGAAGAACATGAAGTTATTAAAAATTTAATTTATAGTTTTAAGTAAAATGTTCTCTTATTTCACTCGAACTGCTATTTTTGTCAGTAATTGGTCCGTAAATGGTCCGTAATTTTTCATATTTGGTCTGTATAAAGTCCGTATTTTTAAATACTTTCATATTGGTTCGAGCCCTGTAGTTTCATTCCAAACGATAATAAAATCACTAATGAAATCACTAATGAAATCACTAATGAAATCGCTAATAAAATCATTAATAAAATCACGATTAAAGGTACAAATATAAATTATAAATATCTTTGTTAAAAATTGCGAATATACATCTCCTGGAATCGTTTAGCGCCATACAGAAATAATTGACTCCGAAAGAATGTTATAACCACGTGTATACGCGTATTTTTTATACGTGAGAATCTTTAATAACACGGTAACACCTACAGGAAAAAATTCTTCTAATTCTTACAACAAGGCTAAAAAATTAACCGCCTATAATATACGTATATAAAAGTGGACTTGTTCAGGGTAAATCATTCTTTCTTTAATTTAATAACCTTTAATTTAAAAGGATGCTTATAACTATAATAAAATGTTAATAATAACAACAACAACAGCAACTCGTGTACGCAGATGAACTGACAAGTTCCTTAAAGAAAAAAAGAAAAAAAAAATGAAAAAGAGTAAAAAAAATTTCGCTCGCATATCTATCATTACCTTGAACCACTTATACGGATGTATGAGTTCAAGTAGATGTATACATGCGCGAGAGCTTTATGATGCGCCGCAAAACGGTTTTATGAGTCCTGAAACGTGTCTAATTGAATGAATCGCGCAAAAGTTGCGACGACGTATTATACATATACTCTGTACCGTGTGCTATGGGAGGAGCAATGAGTTTTGCCATACATGGTGCATTATGATTTTACAACTACTATACTCGCAGTATATATATGGTGGAGTTATTTAAATTCCATATCTTGGCGAAAAGCGCCTTTTGCCATGTATACCGCGGTAATGTGGCTGTTAATGCCTTTTCGCCGATCATCGTAATCCCTTCTTGTTTTAGCTTCCAGAAACTCAACGCCTTTACACCCGTATGAACTTGAAACTTTACTGCCAAGATTCAATACATAATTTTCAGCAAACGCTTTTTTTTATTATATACTATATACGTGCCGATCAATATAATGGTGTGAAAAATAATTTTATTATATTGTATTGTGATATGATTTTTTGCTTTTTTTTAAATTTGTGAAAAAATCGTTTTCAGGTTCAAAAGAGGTTTAAAAAAAGAGGGTCAAAAGAGGGTCTAAATTTTGACTCGGGTTATTTCTGAGTTTTAATAGCAATAAGATACAGCAACCGTCCTTTTTCTTCACGTACGTTTTGTGATTTTTTTTTACAAACTCTAACGAGTGCGAGACTATATGTTATTATCATGATTTTAATGTCATTTAATAATTAGGATGACTGTAAATTATGCCGATTATACTTATAATTATGATGACGATTATAATTATGATGAATAGCACAAGACAATGATCGTGAATACAAATAAAATGCGTTCACCATTTATTTCTTATATTAAAGTTTCAAGTAATTTTTCATTTTTTAATGCCCGGGGATAATTTATTGAACTTTTCCATCGTCAAACGTCTCAAGTGTGATTGGTGATAAGATAATTAATGTTTTCATATATATGATTGATACGAAACTACCGGTAGTAAATTGCGTCAATTGAGCAGTACATAAAAAAACAAGTTTTCCCCCCGTCCTTATTATTAATTCTTATCGCACTTTTCATAGATTTTTTAAAGCTTTTTTTTCTTATTTTTATACAATCAAGCCTCAGCTCGATTTTAAGGCGGGCAAAAAAAGTAAATTTTACTTAAAAATCAGTAGAAATTACTATATTAATAATATTTTCTAATTCAAAAGCAAAAAGTCAGTCACTAATTTAAATTAGTAAACATTTTTACTAATTCAAAGTTTAGAGAGTAAGATAAATTAAATATGATAATAAAATTATTATTATTCGCAAAAACGTCGATTTTTGCTAGTGGGCCCGGATATTGCCTAACTTTTAATAAACGTTGGCGAGTTTTTGGGATGGCGGAAGGCGATATGTTCTCAAATTGCGATGAAATTGGGCACCGGCGCGTCGTTGGGTTTCGAATGACAACGGGACCACCGATGACGTTGTTCTTCTTCCCTCTTATTTTCTCGACTTATGAACTCGTCAACTCTCTTTCTATATATAGTCGAAATGATGATCCCGCAAAGACTTTATGCATTCAGCCTTGGCCAATGCTCCAGCTCCGACGATCAATGAAAATTACACCTGCGAGAACGAAAACTACCCCGCCAAACAAGAAGATGAGAAAGCAAAACGAACAAAAAAGAAGAAGAAGCCTCTAATTCAAACCATCAGAAAACAAGACCACAAATTTACTATCCACATAAAAAAGAACTTGATATTGGTATTTAACTTCATAATCCAATTTTGCACCTCATTTATCCAAATTAAGTCAAATTAGGTATATAAACTATTCAAAAGTCAAAACCTAAAGTCGGAATTTATTTTAAAAGGTTTTAAAAGGTTTTAAAAGGATTCAAAAGGTTTTAAAAAGATTCAAAAGGTTATAAAAAGGTTTTAAAAAGTTTTCAAGTTTTTATACAGAAAGTGGAGTTATTAAAAATGTCAGCAAAAAATAAGTTCAAGTAGAAAATTTATTAACAGTTTTCTTTTCCTCTCTTTTTTACAAATATGCATTTCAGTCATTTTTTGATATATAATCAGGTCGTCGAGCCGACACAATATATAATATATAAATACCTAAACTATGAAAATGTTTAATATATAAAAAATATACAGAGATCAATCTTTTAAACATTGAAAAATATATATAATTCATTATCCAGAGAATTATTTTCAATCATATTCTCTTTAATAATTAATCTGCCTTTTTAAAAAAACTATTCTTTACACATTATTCAAAGAACATAATTTTGAATTTGCACAAAATTTACACAATTTGTGCATTTAATTGCACAATTAGTTGTAATTTACTGTTCACATACGTGAACACTGACGACAAAAATTTATTTGATTTATTTGATCCAAAATGGCACCAAAAATTATTTCATGTAAATTAAAATTATTCTGAATGTAATTAAAAAAGTAACCAAAAAATTTTTAAAACGTAAATCAAATGTCGAAGGAAAGCAGACGTTCTATAAAAATAAGTACTGGCGCAGTTTACATGTATTCAGTCGAAGATATTTAAATTAGTTCAAATAAATACAAAACTTCCTATCTTTTACAGTAGAAAAATACTTGAGTCACTTTTCCTCTAAAATCTCTCGATATAAAAAAAGACTCATGTGTCAAATTTACTATTCTCTTTGTGTATATATAAAAATAATTATAAATATATAAATAAATATATATGAATATATTTATACATATACAAAAGTAGGTAAATGGTACAAAGTACGAAACATTACTTGGCAATAAATTTCGCCTCTTGAGCAACTTTCTTTAATTGACAATCAGACAGCAAAGAATCAACAGTATAAAAAAAATCATTTGTCAATGTTCAGATCACGTCAAAATATGTCATCTCGAAACTATTTACAAATCTATTTACAAAATATACACAGTGTGGAACCATATTTACAAGATGGTGGAAAAATAATTTTTAAACATTGAAATGTTTTTTAAAAATATATACAAGTCTTACAAAAAATTAATCCACGCAATCAACTCCACTATTAACAAAAAGAGTTTTTCAACGTATCACAGAAGTCTGGATTCACATGTCAGGTTCCTTTTACATCCCATATCAGCTATTCTTATCCTCTTTTTAGAAGAATAACTGAAGAGGATAAAAATATTCTGTACAGTATCAGAAAACATGTACAGAATCAGAAAACATGTATATACAGCATCAGAAAACCACAGAATCAAAATTTTTTTTTTCAGGAACTACTGCAGTAAATCGTACAAGGCCGTAATGTAGGACTGTGCCATTTGCAGTGTCTCGTACTTTGACAACTGCCTGTCATTACCCAGAGATGGAAGATACGTCCTCAGTCTGTCAAAGGCCTTATTGAGATTCTGCATTCGTCGTCTTTCTCTTGCATTGGCAGCCAATCGCCTCTTCTTAACAACCGTTGAACTCACATACTTCCCCCGTCTCCTTGGCTCATCATTACACTCCTGATCATTGTCACTCTCGGCACCGTCGCTCTCCTCAAGATCCATTCTGTCCTCGAGACTACTGCCATTACTGATAACACTTTGCCTCGAGGATCTCTCCTTAATTTCCAATTCATCTTGCACGAGAACATTATGATGATGATGATGATGGTGTGGATAATGATGGACACGATTCATTATTTGATTGCCGGATACTGAAAGAGTTTCGTACCTCTTCTCGTGCTGAAAGTTCGACCCCCTTCTTCCTGTCAGTGTTCCGCTTTCGGACTCTGAGGAAACGGATGTCGTGGTTGGACTTACGGATCTCAAACTCGCCGCAGGACTCGGTGTGTGCCAACCATCGCTACTATTGTCATACGGTACGCACTGCGGTACTGTCAATGTGCTAACTGGCGGAAGGCAAATTTCCTTCTTTAAATAATGATAGTTGGGCAATTCCAAGTACGTTGGTGTGACATCCTCCTGCGGTGGGTACATGTATCCGTACCGGAACATCTCTTGCAACTCCATATTTCACTTTTCCTTCTCTTCTTCTTCTTCTTCACTAGTCTGTTTTTCTACTTCTTCACTAGTCTGCTTCTACTTCTTCACTAGTCTGCGAGTATAAACTCTACAGAATCAGGACAGTAGATCACTCGCGAAAATCGAGAAAAGAAGCAAAAATATTCAAACACTTCACGATTATTCTTTGTATGACTTCTTGTAAAACAAGAAATTAGAACGTGAATAAAACTTGTAATAATAATAGTATAGAGTATTAATAATAATAGTATAGAATTAGAACTTGTATAGAAGGCACGATTATTTTCACGTTAAAGATTTGGTTGAACCAAAAAAATTTGAAATAACTTTCTCGACGGACGAGAAGATTCTGAGGAGTCGGGAAGAGAGTCGGTCGATTTATGCACTTGGGGAGCGAGTCACCCTTGGCAGCACGTGCCCCAGGACCAATGGGAAGCGAGCGGTTCCCCACCAGTTCGCCGGTGGTTCGGCCCAAGAGAAGTAACGCAACAGGTGGCCCGGCGCCTGTATAGCAATTCCAGATAGGTATTACACATACGTATATGAAGCTCAAGTCGCACGACCAACTACAGGGAGATGACGAGGGTGCGACTTGTGCTACCTGTATGAGTTGACTTGTGCTTAGTCAGTATGTGCATGCGTTATTGCTGAACACATACTGCGTGGATGATGCTTTACTGCATGCGTACTAGATACGCGTACTGCATAATGCTGCACATTTGTTTAATAAATGTGTATAGTAACGTATTATGCTGAATGTATGCAGTATGAAAAACGCAGTTTTTTATGCTGCATACATGCAGCATAAAAGTAAGAAAACGTAAAACTACGTTTTACTTAACTTTCCTTTTTAATTTTACTATGCAGTAAAACTATAATGTATAGTATAGTTGTAGTATTGTAGCTGCAGCTGTACTGCTGTCCAAAAAAAAATTGTAACCACATTTTCCGTAAGGTTGTAATTTGTATATTTTGAATTTCGACCTTTCTGAAAATTCGGTTACTAGGTTTTTACTTTGGATAGCAAAGTATAGTATAGCAGCAGCAGTAGTAGTACTAATTGTAGTAGTGTATTATACAGATGTAGTAGAAGCAGCAGCATTAAAATACTAATAATATTTGTCTCACTTGATCCACTTCCCGACAAACTTTCAGATACATTTATCGCATGTTATTTCTTATGGCTATTTGACAGTTAAAGTTCACTAAGAGTTGGATCAATTAGGTCTTAGTGTATAATATATACAGAAGTATACTTCTCTTACAAAAATTAGATTTTGTTTTTTCCTGATTTCCAGAAAAAATTTTGACTTTTTCCCTGACCCTAAGGAATATTTTGATTCGCTCTAAAAAATGATTAGATACTCAAAAAAATGTATTCTATTACATTTATTTACGAATTTCCTTAATTGTAAAATTATTCAAAAATACCAATAACTTCATTATTAAATAAATATTTAACCATTATTATTTTTCCATGGGAACTAAGATTTTCAAAATTTCAAATTTAAACCTTTTAAAATTCAATTAACTTATATGAAAATCCTTCGCAAGAATTCAATTATTCTTATAAGTATTAATACAATTTTTCACATCAATTCAATTATTTAAAAAAATGTAATAAAATTCGTTGTAAGAATTCAATTATTATCATAAATAATAAAATTTTTCCCAGGGGGCTGTCCATAAATTACGTAAGACATTTTTTGGGTAAATTTGACCCCCCCCCCTCGTAAGATATTTTACATACATTAGCGCCATTTTTCCTATTGTTCGTAAGATCTTGCTGACCCCCCCCCTCCCCCCTAAATGTCTTACGTAATTTATGGACGGCCCCTTAGGATTTAAATTAATTTTAATACAATTTTTAAATGAATTCCTCGAAAAATGTAATTATTTTCAAACATTTTTTGCAAGAATTCAATTAAATTTCACAAATAATGAAACTCTTCTCTAAAATTCAAATATTTTCAAAATCTACTATACTTACATATAGTTTAATAAAAATTCTCAAAAGAATTCAATTATTTTCATATAAATAATAATATTCTTCACAGGATTTCAATTATTTAAAAAAAATGTTTTAAAAATTCGTTGCGGAAGACCTTCAATTATTTTCCTAAATAATAAAATTCCTCACAGGTTTTCAATTATTTTTTAATACAATTAAAAGTAAATTCTCCGAAAAACATAATTAATTTCAAAAATTTTATTAAAATTCTTCGAAGGAAATAATTCAACAATTATCAATTATTTTTAATAATTTTTGCAAAAGTTTCTAGAGAATTTTCAAATCCTTTTTTTTATACAATAATTCAATTTTACAAAATTTCGATTATTCGTAAATTTTTCAATTAAAATATACATTAGAAAATAAAAAACTTGCAATAATTTTAAAAAATTTGGATTAAGTTTTTTGAAAAAAATTAGTTCCAAAGAGAATGTTTAATTAAAACTATGTATATTATATGAAAAAATCAAATTTTCAAAGATTTTAATTAACTTTAACTGAAATTAATTTTTAAATCAATTTTTATTATAGAAAATTCAACGAGTATTCAATTATTTAAATATAAACATAAATAATTTATTAAATAATTAAATGTTTCTTGAAATTAAATTCTTATATATATAATTTTATTAACAAATTTTTAAATAATTGAATTTTTTTGGACGAATTTTAATAAAACATTTTGAAGAATAATTATATTTTTCGAGGAATTCAATTAAAACTGTATTAAAAATAATTGAAATTCTGCAACAAGTTTTATTATTTATGAAAATGATTGAATTATTGCAAAGAATTTTATAAAAAAAAGTTGCAAAGAATTTTTCTTCGAGAAAATTTATCCAAATTCTTTTTTTAATTATTGAATTCCTATGTGAAACTATCATTATTTTAGAAAATAATTGAATGTTCGTGTAGAATATTATCAAAATTTTTGTTTAATAATTGCATATTCTTTTGTGAAATTTTATTAAAATAGTAGGGGAACATAGTCTAGGTCGGCCACCTTTTTGACTTTTGTTTATAACTTTTTTTTAAAAATGAATTTGGACAATTGAAGTATATGGTTGGAAAGTCCTGTTTAATAGGAACATTTTTTCTGTACAAAGTAAATTGACAGGTTTAAAAATGAAAAAGTTATAAAGATTTAAAAAAAAAAAAATTTGTAGTCCAGGTTAGCCATTACAGTCAAGGTCGGCCATGTTTAAAATTCAAAGGGCATTAATCGTTAAAAAATAAAATAACATGTTTGGAGTTACGGAAAATTGATTCTTTATTGTTTACAGTTTGTAACTTAATGAAATAACAAAATAATAACAATAAACAATATAAAAAAATAAATATAAATAAAAAAAGTTTTGCACTAAAATATTAATAAAATTAAATAAAAATATTAATAAGATGATCAATTATATTATGACTTATACAGAATTGCAGTTTTTGCAAATGAAGTAGCTCGTCCTCAACTTTGCGCATTTTAAACACATAGTGGCCGACCTTGACAGTAAGTAACATTACCGAATTGTTGTAAACAAAAAGAAATACGTTTCGGGATTCGATTTTTTACTTTGTTTTCCTTTCAACCATGAGTCCCACAAATTTTCTGCATACTTGCCTTGACGATTCAATTTGTTTTTTATCTTTTATTAATGGTTTTTCACATTATGCACAAAACTTTTTTTGAGCTTTTTTTGTACCGACGTCACAGAAAACACAATTTTCGATTTTCCGAAAATGTAATTGAACAAAAAGTTAGGTTTCACTAAGACAAGCTTCGACAAAAATGCGCGTAGGTGGCGCTAGTGAACTTGACAAAAAAACGCGAGTGGCCTACCTAGACAGTAGGCCAACCTTGACTACATTCCCCTAGAATAATGAAAAATTATTGAATTTAGAAAACTTTTTGAAAATAATTAAAATTTTGACATGAAATTATATTAAAATTTTTGAAAATAATTGAATTTTATTAATTTTGAAAATAATTGAATTCTTGTGATAAATACTATAATTATTTATGAAAATAATTGAATTTTGTAATGAACTGTATTAAAATTCCTGAATGTAATTGAATTTCGGCGAAGAATTTTGCTATAGTATTTATATAAAGATAATTGAAATGTTGATGAGAATTTTTTTTAAAACTTTTGGAAAATCATTGGATTTCTGGAAAGAATTTTAATATTCATTAAGATATATCTTTCAAAGAATTACGTTAAAATTTTTAAAATTGAAACTAATTTCAACAGAATTGAAATTAAATTTTTTTTAAAAATTACTTCGTTAAATGATTTATAAGTAATATCTTTATGACAGTTGTTCAAGATTTAAGTTATTTAGAAAGAAATTTTTGTCAGAAATTGAAAAAATTGAAGGTTTTGTATTAGAATTCGTGGTAAATTCATAGTTTATGAGGCAAACAAAAAGACACAAAAATTCAGAATTTTCTTATAAATTCTAAACATTTAAGTTTTTCCAGTATACTTTTAATAAAAATCCCTGACTTTTCCCTGATTTCTCTGACCAATTCTATTTTTCCTGCGACTTTTCCCTGATTCCCCTGATTTGTGAAAATGGCCCTTAGAGAGTGTAGTATACAGAAATAATAGCAGCAGTATAGAATTAATATTAGTATAGTAGTATTAGTAGTATAGTAGTAGTAGTAGTAATTAATATTAGTAGAAACAGCACACTCAGAAAAAGAGTTGGCTGCCATAGCCAATTAAATAGTTGCTATAGCGCGATCCAATTAATTGGATGGGGCAACTATTTCTTGGTTGATACATCCAACTTTTTAGCTGCATTACATACATAGCTGGGGTACCTTTTCGCATGGAAACAGTATCCAATAGTTGGATGTGCTAACCAATTAATTGGATCGCGCTATAGCAACTATTTAATTGCGGTTATGGCAGCCAACTCTTTTTCTGAGTGTAGTAACAGTAGCAGAATTGCTAATAGTAGTGGTATTTTAGCATATACAGAAGTAGCATCAGCAGTAGTACCAAATAGTAGCAGTAGCATTAATACAGCAAATAGAAATAGTACATCAGCAGCAGTATTACACTTTACAGAAGTGTACTACCATCAGTGCAGTATGCATCCACGCACACACACCGAACACGCGTCCCATGCTTTCCGCAGTTTTGCAACAAAATCCTCAGAGTCGAAGATGTAATTACGCATGACGAGAAGGATGACGAAACGCACGTGTTCCGTCGATGAGAAAACAGCGGTTGCATCTCGATTATTGTATAGGTCAATGTCATTGAAGGAGACGCGTATATAGCGGAGCTTTTCAAACTGCGTGCGAGGGGGAAAAA